TATATTAGATTAAATTAAAATAAAAGTAAAATATAGTAGATAGATTTAAAGTATCTAAAAATGATAAATGAAATAAAAAAATAAAAATTACTAGATTATTGATCAAATTAAGCCAACTTCTATGTAACATTGTCGTTTAGAAAATAAGAGGTTAGTAGTAATATTTTTTTAATGAAAGTAAAATATTTAATGTTAAGTTATATAGTTAATGATTTAAGTAATTTAGTAATAATGTTTTTAATTAAAAATATAAAATTTTGAGTTTAAATCATATGATATATAAGTGAATGAGATAAAGAATGAAAGAAAATTTATTCATTACATAATTAATATGAAAAATTTGAGTCACATCATATATTCATGAAATAAATTAAGGAATAAAAATTTTATTTACTATGGTACAATTTAAAATTTAAAAATAATTATAATTGTATAATTATAATAATATATTATTAAATACATATAATATTATTAATACATTTCCAAATAAAAATTAATTATATTATAATATTTTATAATTATAAATTTATAATATTACATTTCTAAATCACTTTCATTCTTCGAACTTGGAAGAAATCCAGAAGTTTCTTTGAGATGACACATGGAATTAGCTTGTAGGTAGCACATGGATGATTCCGTGGGTCCTATCATATCTCATATGGGACAAACAAATTCATCAAAGCTGCAATAAGGAACGGAGACTCTAGAGTGTGGATTGAGATGGTTAATGGAATATGGCGTCAATGGTTCCCCTCATGTCATGATGGTCCGTTCACTTTCTAAAAGAGATAAAAGGGAGACGTAGGGGTGGCAATTTTTTGTCAGAGCATGGGTAATTGTTTTGACTTAGGGTGGCAATTGTGTTAGTGGTGAGGGACAAGTGGCAGTTGGTAAGTGAAATGGGGAGAGATTTTATTGGCTTTGGAGAGCAAGTTTGTAAGTAGCGAGGCAAGTTTTGTAATTTGCTTTGGTTTTAAGGTTTAAGCTTTAGTTTTAAGGTTTAAGCTTTAGTTTAGTTTGAAAGAAAGAGAAGTGAGAGGAGAGATAAAGAGAAAGGGGAAGTTTCTTTATTTGATTAATGGGAAAAAAATTTTGAAAGGAAGAAATGAAAAGAGAGATTTTTTAATTTTTTTTTAGATTTTAAAATCAAATATATTATAAATCTCAAAAGGGGATATTTATTTATAATTTTTAAAGTTTTGGTTAATTACATAAAAAAATGTTAAGAGAGATTTTTTTATACTTATATTTAAGGGAATAAGGATTATTTCCTTTCGGGTGAATTAAAGTATTTAAATTTAGTTGTTCACTTTTTTTAAGACATTATGCATTTATTTTTATTTTTTAAAAAATAATTATAACATATATTTAGTAATAAGTAATTTTATTTATTTGTACTTAATTAAAGTTAAATATAAAATTTTATCAATAAATTATTATATCTATATTTAATAAAAAAAAACTAAAATCATTAAACAAATAGAGTATATATGAGTATCTTATCTTAAAATAAAAATTAATTTCATTTGCCAAACATATCCTCAAAAACTTTCTTTTTTAAACATGCATAGGAAAATTACTTTCTCCTTCCAAAATAATTGTAATTTTTTACTTAAATTAATTATTTTTTTATTTTTGAGATGCACTAATATTTTTTTATTTTAACTCTATTATTATGCATTCACTATTAACCATTTAATAATAAAAGTCTCACTTTATCTTTAATTTTTTTAGAATATTAAAAATAAAGATAAATATTATCTTTAAATTTTAATTTTAAAAAATTAAAAAATAATCAATATTTTAAAACAAAGAAAGTATTTTTTAAAAAAAGAGAGGAAAATGAAAAATAGAAAATGGAAAAAAAAATCTTTACCAAACATACAATTAATTGCATAATAAATTATAAATATTTAAATTCTTAACTTTAACTTTAGGAAAAAGTGACTGTCAGTTTTACGTTTTAAAGATTATAAGAAAAATTATTTTAAAATTATGTCGTTTCAATATATTTTTATTAAAAAAGATTAAATTATCTTATTTTTAAAGTATGCATTAATGTGATATTTGTTCTTTTTTCTTTTAATTTTTTGGAGGTAAGACGAACAAACATCAACCCCTTAACTTTAAAGGTTTTTATAATTTTTTGAATAAGGAAAGATTTTGAAAAAAGTGAGAAATATTACAAAAATTTCTATAAAAACTTAATTTTGATATAAATTAAAGTATTTAATACTTATTATCAACTATTCAAGAGCTACTAGTGCAACTCTAATCTTAAGTTAAAATTATTAAATTAAAGGTATTTTTGATTTGATGATGGTCACTGTATCTCGACAAAGTTAGAGGTGAATTGCACTTTGATAAGTAGTTTGAATCTTTTTTAGAGTAAAATATTAATTTTTAATTTTTAATTTTTAATCATTCTCTCTGTCAAATAAAAAGAAATTAAATTAAAGAGTACAAATTTGGTGAGATTCTTGTCAGTTCTGTTGTAATCCTGTAGGGCTGTAGGCGTTTAACTTTAAAGTTCATAGTTGTCCCAAGACGTGAAAGAGCAACAACAGTGATGATGATGTCTCAAACAGGTCCTTTTTGTTGATATGTTTATGCTTTTTAATATAATTGCAATATCTCTCCTATCATGTTCTTCCTTCACAGACCATCAAATTTCACGAAAAGATCTTTCGGAAAAGGACGACCAATTGCCTCGACATCTTTTCCAAACGTCACTTCCTCCAATACCCAGCTTCCAAGTACATGGTTTCAACCACACAAAGTGAAGAAAAATAAACAAAATATACATAAAATAAACCTAAATATATGTGTACTCGAAAACCAGCATTAATTGTAGAGTATAAATAATTAAATAAGAAATGATTTTTAATGTTAAAAATTTATTTTTATTTGATTATTTAAATTCTGCAGTCCGGCCTGAATTGCTGAACACATTATTATTATATAATTCATCACTGACTCACAGAAACAAGAGTATACATTGAATTCGAAGAAACTCCTTTGCATTTTGCATTGATGGGCAGCAGTTCAGATTATGCTTCTTTCAAAGTTCCAGAATACGTTCTGCCCTCCAGTGGCAGGAGAATGCCGCTGTTGGGGTTCGGCACGGGGACCTCACCGCCGGTTGGGCCAGAGGCTACAAAACAGGCAATTCTGCATGCCATTAAGTTGGGTTACAGACACTTTGACACGGCCTCCATGTACCAAACGGAGCAGCCACTGGGGGATGCAATCAGGGAAGCACTTTCTCTCGGACTGATTGAATCCCGAGACGATGTCTTCATCACCACAAAGGTCTGGCCCACGGAAGCCCATGCCGATCTTGTTGTTCCTGCCCTTCGGAAGAGCTTAGAGTAAAACCTTCTCCTCTACCTGAATTCGCGAATTCTCTGGTCTTTTTGGGTTTTTTCTTTTTTTTCTTTTTTTTCTTTTTCACAGTTAAATTGCTTAGTGTGTTGTAGGGTTTAAAATCGAGTTCGACCTTAAATAAAGGTTTTCAAGTTACTAGATACTAACTCGACTTTTAAGCTATTGTTGGTTCATGAATTCTTTTTAAAGTGCCTCAAAAGAGCTTCTTGCCTTTTTGAGAAGCTGATTTAAATCTCTAGTTTAGGGAAATGGGGTCTCTAAGCAGTTGTTTATTCTGCAGGAATCTGAAGTTTGAGTATGTTGATTTGTATCTGATTCACTGGCCTGTGAGCGCAAAACCGGGGGACTTTGTGTACCCAATTAGGAAGGAAGACTTTCTTCCCATGGATTTCAAAGCTGTATGGGGTGCCATGGAAGAGTGCCAGAGGCTTGGCCTCACAAAGTCCATAGGTGTTAGCAATTTCACCATCAAGAAGCTCACTGATATCCTTGCCTTTGCAAAGATCCCTCCGGCTGTTAACCAGGTTTTCCTTCCTCTCATCTAAGTGTCTGTTTAGCGTAACTTCTAAAAAGTTTCTCTAATTCTGTTTTTCAGTTTAGACTTTTAAAACAATTTCTCTAATGCTATTTTTCAATCTAGACTGAAAAAAAAAGGGGGTCGACCCACGCGCTGATTAGACTTACATTTTTTTAGCTACTTCAGATTGAAAGCTTCATTTCTGTGAAATAAAAGTTAAATTTCTGTAATAGTTGTGAGTTGCAAATTTTTGAAGGTGGAAATAAACCCAGTATGGCAACAGAAGAAGCTAAGAGAGTTTTGCAGGGCACATAACATTTTTTTGACTGCTTATGCTCCACTTGGAGCCAAAGGAACCCTATGGGGCAGTAACCTAGTTCTGGAGAGTGAGGTGCTCAAGGAAATTGCCAGAGCCAAAGGAAAGACCGTTGGTCAGGTGCAGGAAAAAGATATTCTCTTTCTTTCCCTGTTCCTTTGTATCTTTGTTTTCACAGTTTAGACAGATTTAAGGGCAGATAAAAGTGGAAATGCTCTGATTAATTGGTTTGGAAACAGATTTGTTTGAGGTGGGCATATGAACAAGGCGTCAGTGTGGTAGTGAAGAGTTTCAACCACGAGAGGATGAAGGAAAACCTTGAGATATTCGACTGGTCGTTGAGTGAGGAAGAGCTGAAGAAGATCGAAGAGATCCCACAACACAGAATCTGTCGCGGAGAAGATTACATCTCCAGTTATGGACCTTACAGGACAGTAGAAGAACTATGGGATGGGGAACTTTGATTCCATCATATGATTAAGTCGAACATCAATGAACCCTGTTCTAAATATTCTAAGTAATGTGTGAATAATCCCAACCGATTGAACTCCCTCACAGAAGGGAGTGTACAGTGTTGTTAGCGTGAGTGTCAGCGTGTGTGTGTGTAAAGGGTTCAGTCCGGCATCTTCTTTCAGACCTGATTAAATAAAAGAGACATGATCTCTACTGGGTCATTTTTCTCGTATCAACATTAAGATCTAAGTAAATCACAATTAAAATAAATATTGAGCTAGTAAATAAACAGTATTCTTCTAACAAATATTTACAGATATCAACACATCTAAAGGAATATATAAGAATTCGTAGTTCTTACATATCTTTGGTTCTGCAGAAAATGCCCCTTTGCACTTAATTACATGATACATGCTTGGATGGCAGCATTAGTGCATCTTCTGCAAAATGTGGTAAAAGAAACGAACAGGCTGATATAGAGTCAACATCCCATGGGCCTTTCATAATTAGGAGGTAAGGACGGACAATTCTCATTCATATAGGCATATGGCTCTATGGTGTTATAGTGCGGCAATTCCATCCAGTACTCGCCAAGAATCTGACAGAATGGAAGCTGACCATCCTCGTTTTGGCACCAACTTGGCAGCCGTGTTTGGTTATTCTCAAAAATCTTAAGTGAATATGCATCACGAATCTGTAAACAAAAGCTCACATCATACCACATACAAACAAATTAAAACAATGTTCAATTATAGAACCGAGCATGAAAACTTACAGTGAATTCAGTTACTTGGATAGAGTTAGAAATGGGACCAAAGACTCCAGCCTCTTTATACATTTCAAGGATAAAGGCAACACATGTAGTTGATTTCCCATCACTGTATACCCATTCATCTTTCTCTGGGATAGTAAGTAATTGGTCAAAGGCCATGCCACGCCTTTCAACCTCCTCTAGAATCCCATATAAGTCTAAATCCTGAGAAAAATGATTAAAAGAGGTCAAAGTAGCAAAAGTCAGTATGTTGTAGCAACCAAAATCACATTCAATGAGATTAAGAAGGAATAAAATGGGGAAGGCATTTTTGACAGATATACAGCAAGATTTAAGCATTCATCTTTCTATTCTACTGTACACCACAATCTACTTTGTCTATTTTTTTTTATGTCTGTTGGAATCCAATAACGTGTTGAGAAATATAAACTTCTCCTCAAGACAACAAATAAAAGCTTACAATCAATACAACCAACAGAAGAAAAAACACAAAGTACCTCGGTCCCTAGCCGCTTATTTAATGCTTCATTCCACATATTTGCAGCATAAGCTGGCTGCACCCTTGTCCACATAGACATGACAGAAATGACCTGCAATTGAATTCTGCTAGTGAGGAAACCTAAGAACTATAATTTTTAGCATCATATCTACCTCCAAAGACATCTAGCAGAAGTGTTCCTCAACACACACAAGCATGTGCACGTGAATTCACAGAAGCATATAGAGACATATTTAAACTCAAGCCATTGAGGGGATTTTTTAGCTAATAAATAAAACAGCCAAGCTTCTTCTAGCATAGAGTTTGCGAATTGGTTGCAAAAAATAAAAAAAGTGCATGCTTCATAAAGACATAAGTTCCTAAGTGCAGCCTTAGACTAAAGTTGCACAAAATGGCCATATAAGATGTGTACCAAGTGAGCATCAAGAGGTGGTGGATAGTTATCAGCAATAGTATCAATCCAACTAAATATCATGTTGTGATAACCATACGGTTTGCCCGACATGCTCCGGGCATACTCCCAAGCTGCAGTGGAGTTAAATTTCGCTCGTATATCTGGATGTAAAGGAAGCAAAGCTATTTGAGGATTAGAACCATCTTTAATTGCCAGCTCCCACCATTCATCCCATGGAATGACCACTATAATTTCTTCACCCTGCAATGTTCATATGACATAAGGGGAAAAAAAAAAAAAAAAACCTTCAGATACATGTAAAGAATCAAAGAAAATCAAATTTTCATATTAATCCTCCATCCAAAAAAATCATATTAATCTCTTTAAATCACTTTATGCTGCTGGTATCTAGAAAAGTAGTTTTCTTGAGAAATAAAAAATTGTCTTCCTTTACTTGAAAGGAATAAATTAACAGCTTAGATTCATAAAGGAAATATCAAGTGAAAGTAATAAAAGTATTAAAAAATTTTCAGAATGGATTATATTTTACAAATAGATATTAAGTAGTAAGCAATCAACACGCTATTTAGGGCATACCTTCTCATTCTCATGCCCTGATTCACCAACCCAAAGATTACCCATTTCATCCTTCAAACATACTGCAGTGTGACCGGCAAAAGCACCAGTCACCCATTTTTCCAATGTCTCGAATCCCCCCCACCGACCACGGATTTTTGATGCTGCCAAAAAATCACCAGAATGCACATCTTCTGGGCTTATTGTTACATGCCATGGTTGAGGACGCTTTTCAAACTTAGCACCCATGTGCTTCTCCAAAAACGCAAGGTTGGCATTCTGACCCCAAATAGTATTAGAGAACAGGGGCAACACATCTATTAAAGAAAGCAACGTGCCCATCATTCCAGATGGCATGAGAAACACAGAAATTCCATGCTGCTTTACCTGTTTAGCATCAACAGAAATTTAGTTAAACAGAACTGTCAGCAATGTTACTAAAGCAGTGAAAACAACAACACACATACGTATTCCAACTCTGCAGTCTCTTCCCACGAGTCAAATTTCAACGTATGCTCTCGAGCAGAGAAGTAGTAATCCCAAGTGATCCTGTAAGGAGTTGCAAAAACATAAAGATCCATACAGGTCCAGCTGTGTGCTTCAGATGTCTGCAAATGAAATTTTAATCATTCCAAGAGAAATTTCAATCTTCAAACCTTGTAACTAAAAGCTGAAATTAATGACACTCTCTCTCAAAGAAAGGGATATCAACCAGTTCTCCAACTTCCTTATTAAGAAAAATAAATGAATTCAAGTTCTTAAACCACTCTAAGCTGTTGAAATAATAACAATCAAGTCAAAAACTTCAATTGTAACCAGAACTTCAGCAGTAATCACAATTATCATATCAACAAAGCCAAAGAGCAAACCGTGAGATAGAGAACGCCGCCGCCCAATCCCGGCTCACCCCGATCGCTTTCCGTGAACTCCATACGAGCTTCGTTTCCATTAAAGCAAGCTCCTTTCCACCAAACAGTTCCATTATTAGGAGTCACCGATCCGACAAACGCCGGCAACAAGTCAACCGCACTATGGAAGTTATTCAACACCGGCCACGAAACCTGGCGTGGCAACACCGGCAGCACATCTTTAACCCTGAAGGGAACTTTTAATCCCAGACCAAAATCAACACCAAACCCTAACCCTAAAAAGCAGAACAATAACAGAAATTGACATTGAGGAGACATCTGAGGGTTAATCAGCCTGAGATTGCAACGCCGGTGGCCGGAATTACGAGAACATGCAAGGAATTTCCGGATAGGACTAAAATTGGAGGGGATTCTGAGGACGATCCATGGGGTTTTTTTGGATTGGACTTCGAGGGAGAAGTGGTAAGTATTATGTGTTCCAAAATGAAAAATTATGTAAGATGGGAATTTTTTTGTATAAATATTTAATTGAGAAAGGAAGTCGCAGAATTTTACGTGTGGAAGAGTTAAAAGAGTTTTTTCACGTACGACCGTTTCCTTTCAGGCGTTGAATATTAAAACTGATTCTTTTGGTATTGTTCCGATTCCATCCAAAATTCACCATCACCATCCTTACAAATGAATTTCAACATGAAATTCCACTCGTACTTCTTTGTTTTAGTTTCTACAATCTTATGGGTGTAGTGTTTTGCCCTCTAAACTGGATTGGAGCGTAAAATATCAGACATTTTATAAAAAGATGTATATTTAATCCTCAAATGATTAACATGTTATAGTTTAGTATAATACATGTGGAAAAATAATTCTTTTAATCTGAAAACAGTTTTTTCTATCACAGAGCCTTAAAGTGGCCACAAACAATTCAAATAAAAATGTTGACTATAGAAATCTCTTTGTTGTTTCACATAAATTGTAATGTAGTATGGTTATAAAGAATTTTATTTTACAATTTAAATTATATTAAATTATAAAACAATATCATAGAATGGAGAAAATCTTCGACTTCTTAATTGCCCAACATTCATCAAGAGGTTAATGTTATATAATTTAATACAATTTAAACTACCCAATACTTGTTTTTAATTATATAATCTTTAATATTTTTTAATGAAACTTGGTAACCTTACCAAAACCTGCATGATTATTTGAAAACTTTCAGAATATAAACAGAAAAGCTAAAACTGAGATAAGAATAAATATTGCATTAGGGAAACTTCACAAGTAGGACACTTACATGACAAGTAATTGTTGCTTGGTATGATTTGTTAGTGGACAAAAATCCCAATCATCAAGTAATGCATATATCATGTTAAGCAACTTCAAAGTCTAAATTGCACGCTGGCCACCTCTTGCTCCCTTCGTGAGGATGGCATAGGGATCTTGTGCTTGTGAGATGAAGTCCTTTCATGGGCAGGTACCCTTATTTTTAAGACTAGCAATGCTCGCAGCAGAAAGCCGACAATTCCTTCCACATTGGGGCAGAGGTCTTGCGTTTGAGCCCCATACCATCCCTGGTCCCCTCTATCCCAAATAATTTCCCACCTTAGAAGAGAATAGACTACAGTTTAATTTGATAACATTAGTATGTAATTGTAACTATAAATTTTTTTAATTTATTAACATTCTAAAAATATATAAAATATATTCAATATTTATTTTAATTAATATTTTATATATTTTTAAAATAATTTGAAAAAGTAAAATATGTGTTGTTAAGCATATGTTAAAGTGTACAACTGCCAGGAGGATTATGCAAAAGCTGTCTTGACCTCAATCTCTGGTGCAAGAATTGCTTGACAGATGATAGCTGTGCATCTTCAACTTCAAGCCCAACGCCGCAGAGTGCGGCTTGACGTTACTTGTCGTATTGGACCCTTTGGAAAAGAAGCCCATATAGAAAACAAACTTGTAATCACTGCAGGACCAGATTATTGTAAAACAAGCCCATATCAACTTGGACTGTTGTTCCGCCTGTTTCTAATAGAAAAATATAAGGAAAATAATTATTTAGAAGAAATAATTTTTACCATGGGACTATAAAACTCACTTTGTGCAGGTTTTCAAGCTACTTAGTATACGCCTAGGTTTTGTTTCTTCTTCTTTTTTTTTTTCTGAACAAATTTGTAAGAGGTCGGAGTTGAACTGTTGCCTATGGGGAATGCACTTCACAGATGGCCTGAAATCACTGGACCGAAAATCCAAGTGTGCTTAGGTTTTCTTTCTCGTAAAATGAAAAGTGTTAAATTATCATATATACTAAAGAACTTTTTTATGCTTCGAAAGTCAAAACATAAAAAAATCATAAACATATCCAACATTATAGAAATGGGAGTCCATATTAACGGTTTTCTTTAATGTGAAGTATACGAGTATGCGCCCCAGATCATAACCATTGCACATGGTATACAAATACAACAGAAAAAACAATCTCTCTTTGAGACCTATAAAACCCAATTTTGGATTATTATTTACATTTACTAATGATTATGAAGTTTAAATTAAAACTAAAAGGAACAATGTTATAAACACATTTTTGTTTTAATTACAAATAAAACTTTAGAAAAGAAAAGCATAAAATAGAAAATATAGAAAAAATTTTGCCATAATTAAACCTGTCTCTTAATCATTTGTAGTTTGAAGGAATCCAACATTAATGAGAGTGATAATTTAATTAGTCCAATGGTTGAGACAAACAATACAATTCTAATTTCTAAACATAATTAATCTTTCCGTTCCCACCCACCGTTCCTTATCTCCTTATCTTGCCCTTTTTTTTTTTTCTTTCTTTCTCAACAATATTAATATTCCCAAAGGAGTGGAAATCTGTGTGTGGTGATTAGTTGTTTTGTTTGGTAAAGAGAGAAAGATCCAAGGAAATTTGGCAATACAAGAAACAAAGGATCCAAAGATGCCCCAAATCACACTCCATTTTTGAAAAAGGAGATGCCAAATCCAAAGGATTATTCATAGACAACTCCCTTGCTTTTCCGTTGTCTTAAAAGTTATTAAAAAAGATGAGTTGCTCATTAAAATTACATATTTGTAGTTTTTCTACATTCCACAAATCTATGATGCTCTTTGGAATGGCTAAATCCTTTCCATCAAGAAAGAATGGCCAAATCTTTCAGACGGGCCCTAACTTTTTCTAATTGGTTCGATGAAAGTTACAACTCTTTCAAGTTTTGTTTTTGTTTTTTGTTTTTTCTTTTTAAAAGAATGAATGAAAATAATGTTATAGTCTAAATTATATTAAATTAAATTTTAATATTTAAATAAAAAAACGCTCGTGCTTATAAAATTATAATTTTATATTTAAAGACAAAAAAGTGTTCATAATTTTATAGAGATGAGAAGGGGCCAAACATTTCAATAAAAAGAAAAAAAGAAAGAAAGAAGGTTAAGGAACGAAAAAATTCAAAATCAAAAATTAAAAATTTGGTATATAACCTTTAAAATTTAGAAACATTCAACCGTTGAATTAACGTGAAATGAAATCGGACCCGATCCGGTCGACGTGGACAGCTCGGGCGGTCGGCCATAGGCCCATAGCGACACCTCCCCCATGATCCACGCATGTATGGACTGGGCCCCGCGTTCGCAATATTTTCTAAGAAAAATGTTAAAAAAGTAAACGTTATAAATTTGGCGGGTCCCTTTGGGACCAATTTGAGATTTTTTTTTTGACTAAGGCCAAAAGTTAGTATTACGAATTTTAATTAGATTTCCTTAGACAAACTTTAACTCCTTAGCATTGCTTTTTTTCCTTTTTTTTTTATGCTTCTTAGCCCTGCTTTTAATGTATATAAAGTCAACTGCTTCTTTAATAAGTTTCTTCGCAAACTTTAGTTAAATTCAAAACCCATTAATCAATTAAAATTTAGTAGGATTCTCTTACTCCAACAAAAATGCTACTCCTAGAGCCCTAGTTACTAGCATTTAGCTTTAATTTGTTGGTGTCTCGAGTAAAATGAGGAACTATCTCTAGTCAATCTTACTTGTTTATTTATTTTTTATTTTTTTTTACATAATTTTAGCTAATATTTTTACGAAAATGTTGTTAAGAACATATTGTTCATTATTTTTTATAATTATATATAAGTAATGATATATGTATAATATTATATAAAATTATAAATTTATAATCATGATATTGTATTAAATAAATATAATATTTTTACGAAAATGTTGTTAAGAACATAT